GTGGTCTTCGCTTTGGAGGTCTTCCTGGACGTGGCTCTGGCGGACCTGGTCTTGAGAGCTGAAGGAACTTTCTTTTGAGAGCAAACTTAAACCACAGCTCGCTTCTCTCCCATGGCTACTCAAACAATGTACGAACAAGCTCATGTCGAAGACCTCACTAACTCGGCAGACAAACCTAAAAATCATCCCTTCATTCAATTGTATGCCCACCAAACTTTTCCAAACCTTCTACGAAGTTCCCCCACATCTTATCACTCGCAATTGGTGCCTTGATATATCCTCCTTTGACTAAACCCCATCTCTCAACCAAATACCCCGCGATTTTCATAACACCCCCCAGAGCTTTTACTTCCTTCTCCTCAATCATCTTCCTCGAGAACCCGGGTATATTTTCGATATACCACCCCTCGTCCAGTCTGACAATACTCGCTTCAAACAAATCGATGACGCACTCGGGTATGACTATCCCAGTAGTACCGACATGAATCTGTCGTTTGACCGACTCGACTGCTGCATCATAAGCCATCCTATGCCCAATCGCCTCCACAATCTTCTGACACCTCGGTAGAATATACGTATTCGTGAGTGGGGATCGATGATTCGGCCCAGACGCCTTCATGATCTCTCGGCATTCATCCAGAAGCCCTTGCTCATGACGGGCAAGAAGCGAACCAGGATCTCGACTCTTCGGCAACGAATATTTATTCAAAATCAATTCGTTCACGAGACGGATAGCCACTCCTAGGATATCTCCCTCTGCAATGGCTATACCTCTCAGCTCTGAGTGCATCCGAGACATCATGTTAACGTGGAAGAGGCCCTGAGCTCCGCATCTTTCGGAAATGGTGTAGCAGGCATGGGAAGCGAATTGGATAGTGATGGCCTTGGAGACGGCGGCTAGAGAGTGGCGGATACGAAGGGTGGCTATCTACTTGAACTGAGACGTTGTGAGACGTAGGAATTTTCTTGGACGGGTTCTCGGTACTGGGATAAGGGTCTCTGCCGCTGAATACCTCCGTGACCCAATCATGGAACGCGTCCAACACATAGGCTCGAGCAACGGCGGTGAGGATCGGGTTTTGTTGCGTCGAAAAAGATATGATCGGTATTTGCGATTTAGACTTGACTTTCTTGTCGCCGGGGACAGGCCCAACAAGTCTTCTCCAGGAATAAAGCCACCCAATGTTCGCACTTATTTTGATCGCACTAGCAGCGCCCAAGGACAGCGCAAGTGCACCGACAGAGACACGAGAAGCCGCCAGCTCGAACGCGAGTTTCGATTGCGTCAAACGCAGGTTTAGGGCGCTCTGTTCGAAGGAGTTTGATGGTGGACCTGATTCCGAAGCTTGGGAGGGATATTCCAACATGGCTCCTGCCGGCAGTTTGACATTTTCGAAATAAGTGATCGAGTGTAGAACAGGATTGGAACCTTCACGGGGTGGGAGGAGTCTTAAGGTAATTATGTAGTCAGGATCAAAGGGGTAAAAAATGCAACTTGATGTAAACATACCTGGTACTCACACCCTCATACATTCTTTTTCCATCATGAATGTTGACCAAGAAAGGTCTAATTCCCTGATCCTCTTCGTCCACTATCATTTTCGCGAAAACAGTCGCCACACATGGCACACCGTGATCGCCATAGGGTGTAGTTGGAGGCATATATTTGCCGGCCTCGGGTCGAGGAGTGTGCAACACCCAATGACCTTTTCCTAAGCTCTTCCTAGAGCTAAGGATCATCCCATTGGGATCTGGAACCCACGTGGCTCTCGTTTCCATATTTTCGGCATCTAAACCGTGGCCGATCTCAGTCATGCAAAACTGGCCGTTCACTTCCATTTTAGCCATCCTTTTCAGAAGGTTCGCAAGCTCAGGATCATGACAATAAGGAAGGTATGAACAGAGAGTACCGAGGGCGAGATTGCAGTGGATGGTGTACAGGGTTCCGGCTGCAGCATCTAGAGCGAGAATAGGGTCTCGATGAGAGTTCCAGAAGGCGGGGCTTAGTGTCACTATGTCCTTTAGTGTCAGATCTACAAATGGGTTGTCAATGAGCTGCAAGGACACAGGTTGTAATAAACCCAAACATACTGTTAGCTCTTCCCATAGCTATACTTCTCTCGAAGCTTAGCTTGGCCCTCTCTTTCGGTGTACGCTCGTAGAGTTTCCACTCTTGAAGGTGAGAGTAGTAAAGGGGATCATCTATCAAATGAGATGTTCTAGGCATAGATATAGCTCTGTTCTTGAAAACGATATTTGGGAGATGTCAGAAGTGAGGATAAGCGAGGAGCCTCTTGGGTGCAAGTGATCCATCATATGCCTCGATAAATACCCACCGCAACTGGAAAAGCCCGACTTTCTAAACAGGGCTCATCGTTATTAACACGGACCCGAGAAAAGACTAGTATCTTGAGGGGTCGATGAAGTTTAGACCTACTATGCGTCATTTCTTTGCAAAGTGTGGTTTTGAAACAATCACATTTTGTCAGTGAAGTCGACCCTGCTCGACGTCCGTGTGCCCAGTTCAAGTTCCAACGCCGCCGTGGGCGGAGTCATTGTGCCTGGTAGGACAAGATACTCTCTCCATCTCATTTTCATCATACAATATTTTTTTTCGACGTCTGTGACCAATGACGAGTAATAATCACTGGTCTGGACTAATGCCTAAAAATATGGATTGATAAATTAGTAAGAACATAGACAGCCTGAATTCAGATCTTCGTTGCGGAAGTAGATTTAGCGACAAACTTGTTTATTGATGGCGTGGATCTTCGCCAAGATCTGGGCCCATGACCTGAAGGATCGAAGCTTGGAGCTTGAAGTTTTAATACATGATTGGACACTGTTAGTCTCGAGTATCCGGACTGACGATATACACTTGACACTCTTCGTGTGTGTAGGACACTGTGGCGCATACATGATGACTGTGACCAACTTAATACAACAAATCTGGGTAAGTTTGTAGCGGCGTAGGAACGGTACTTGTCACGCGTCATCAAAATTTGCGAAACTTTGGGCACGATGGTCGAATTTTCCGGACCGTGACATCGCCCAAAGCTTTCGATTTTCGGTGGCGTGAATTCTGCGTGCCAGTGGCTGTACACCTGCGAAATTTTTTATTTCGTTTTCCTCAAGTGGGAAGTTTTTTTTTAAATGTAGTAGCCTTGTACGTTTGAGATGACATCCAGCCTCAAGTTTGATCAATAGTTATAACGACCGAGCCCTGCAAAGATTGTAAATAAGTAGCTTGCAAATTAATTTGGCGGCACGCAGATTTTTCAATCTGGAAGTTCCGAAAAGTGCTCGCAACTCTAGCGATTTCATTGGTCACAGTAGGTGGCGAACCGAACAAAATGGTACAGTATACCATGATATGACATCTATTTGATATTATGCTTGTGGTCTTATTGAGGGATTAGTGTGGCGCTGGCGTACACCACGTTCGCACGTGGCCGATCCCCGCCGACCATGCGGCACACAATTTGAAAGGTGCAAACTCTTTGACGACTGTTGTAGATACTTGTATCTCGACGTGACAAGTCCGGAATATTTTGGTACAGGGCGGGTTACATCAATTTGAATGGTACTTTTGAAACAGATAACTTACTGCGGTTAATGGGACGGTTCATTAAAAGCAGAAAATAGGACTACATTAAAGCAGAGTCAATACGTGTTGGAATCAGATCTTCTATTGGACGCTACTTTTATAGCAGTGATATAGTAACGTCGATTTATCCAAGTCCGAGTCGGTGGAACTTAGAACAGATGCCAGAGAGAGTATAGTGCGACTGAATAACCCTGGAGATCTCATTTGGTTAAATGGTGCAGATGGGATCGTTGGACCATATTAAACCTGACTACATGATGACGTAGTTGTGAAAGAGAATCGCACAAGAATCGAGGTTCAGAAATCGCAGACGTGTGCATTGTGTTGATAAGAAATCACTGAAAGTAGTTTACTCATTGCGCGATTGAACTTAAAGCTGGAGTCTATATATCTGGATGAATGCGATGAGCTATATACCGAATCTCGACGTGTTCAACAATAACATCGCACCATAGAAATTGGGTGAAGTTCCAATTAGGCGAGGCTGATGACAGCCGCCGGAATACTAGAGCCCGAGGAGCCCTGAAAGACTAGAAGTGAGAGGGAAAACTTGAATGATTGAAAATCAAATAGTGAAGGACGGAGCGCTATGACCCTTGCATAACTTACTAAAAAGTGCACGCAAGTTTGAAGTATCATTTTCGCTATCACCATGGCGTTGATATTGGTACGCTAGAGTCATGAAGATGGCCGTCGGCCGATAGGCTATATCTAGTAGTATTGTACTTGGGATTGACAATAAACGATCCTTAAAAGAAACAAGGGATACGTAGTATTGAAAGTTTTTTTTTGGTGTAACGTTTGAATCGCTAACTCGGTCTGCTTACGGCCTAAGCTTTATTAGAAACTTGAAGCTTTGAAGCTCCCATAGCTTGCACCAGCCGCTCTGATATGTCAATGGTAGTCTCGAGTATCCACTTGACACTCATCATATGGTGTAAGTATGTAAATGGAGCCATCTCACAATCTGTCGTACCGGTAGCGGGGCGGCCGCGGTCGCCACTGATACGTATTGTGCAGATTTGAAGCCATCAAATTCTCTTTGCAGTCTCAAGCACTTGTACATGTATTCCTACTTAGTCGATGCCATATGCCAACTCTGCCAACAAAGAGACTTTCCAATAGTAACCTTCAAGTTGGACTGTGTTCTGTATTGAGCTAGGTTACTGGGTGGGAGTCACAAATAGATAGACAATACCCAGCACTGTTTCCAAGCAATCCATGCATCAGCCTGATTGTAAACGGAAAAAAAGCAATCTGAGAATAACTCAAAAACATGATTATAAATGAACCTAGATCTATACTTTAATAACCTCTTCCCAACGTAGCATTCGCCCTTCCCAGAGGAAATAGAAAGAGAAACAGGAAGAAAAACGTCCTATGCAAAGACCAGTTCCATCACAGGGAATCGAACCCTGGGCTATCGCGTCAGACCAACATACGCCAATGAGAGGCGATAATGTTAGCCACTACACCATGATGGAGTTATAAAGGTGCTTCCCCTTGTTAGCAAATTTACACAAGTTGCAGTCCAAAGACTACAATTTTAACAAATCAGCATCGTAATTTCTCAAAACCTACGACGAATAAATTAAAAATGAAGTAATCAAAACGAAGGGAAGGTGAGCATCGGGGAAACAAGAACCCAGGTATAAGGGTATAGATTCTGACCAGTAGCCTCTCTTTCACTCCATCGTCTAAAATCTTCCCAATCTCTATCTCATTCCAACACATTATCCTATTCAGTCCTACCCCCTACATATCCCAGCCAACCTCGTTCTAAGGAGAATATCATCCCCTCTTGACAAACTTAACAGGAACGTCTTTGACTCCCAATGTCAACACAATCTTGGCATCCAAAACTCGGGACTTCCATTCGGACTTAGTTTCTTTCGTGCCTGTTTTTTTTTTGTTCACATGCGTGCGGTGGAGGAAGATAGAAAAAAGGGAAAAGCGAGAACGAGAAATGGAAGGGGGTGGATGAAGAAAAATAATCGCAAAAGCGTCAACATCAACCGCATATTCGTAATGAAAAAGGAAGAATGTCAATAAGAAATGGATATTCAACTCAACAGACGAAAGAAAAAAGACACTATGGAGTTGATGCGACACGTACCATCAGGTTTCATCTTCAGGTCCGGCTCGACCTTATAATCCTTCAACAAACAAGCAAGGAAGCAGATAGCTTCCGTGGTTGCGAATCGTCGGCCTATGCACGCTCGGGGACCTATCATTGCCACCGTCCACCATCACCGATCCCGAGAGGCGGAAAAAACGGAAAGGGGGTAACAGGCGAGTAGTGAGGTATCATGCATTAGCAAAACCTAAACCCAACGAGCAAAGTAACACGAAATCCACTCACCGATACTAAATGCTGTAAACCCTTCCGAATCCATATTCCCCAATCCGTGCCATCTCGAAGGCTTGTACGTGTGCGGGTCCGGGAAGTATCGAGGGTTGTATTCTAAACACAAAGTCCATAATTAGTAGTTTACCAACGTTAAAAACCCACAAACAATGGACAAAGCAGGCAGAAATTAAAGAAGAATAGAGACTCACGGACGCCAATCATATCAATAATCACATCCGTGCCTTTAGGTATCGGCATGGGTATCAGTTTCGATTCGGAAGTATCTTGCTGGTCCTGCTGGTCCTGGTTCCGTGGAGGAGGAACGTTGAGCACGGTATCTTCGGTTGCTTTACGGACCATGACGTGGCCAGCAGCTGGAGGGAATGGTGCAAAACAACGTCAGTTATAATCTCCTTTGAGAAAGAAAGGTAGCGAACAGAGGTGCAGAAAAAAAGGGCAACGAAAGATGAAGAGCAAAGGAATAAAAAAGGAATGATACTCACGGAACCTACAATGACACACACGGATCAAGGTCGAGTCGAGCCGAGTCGAAAAAGCGAAGGAACCATCAGCTTTTTCGCTTTGAATGAAGATGATATCAGGAAACGCACATCCTCAGAGCTTCAAAGAAACAAGAAGCAGTCTTGACGAATTTTGGGTAGTCTTCGAAGATCTGGACAAGTCGTCATGTAGTTACAGGTACAATCCTGTCAGCGACAAGGGCCAACAACAGAGAAAAGGAGAAGCAAAACGACGGAGAGAAACCTCACAGGATCTCTTTCCATGCCGACAACGTCTATGATCTCCTTCGCTGCCTCCTCCTGAAACTCATCATACACGGCTAGGAAACCGAGAGTCGCTGCTAACGTGTGGGCGGTTGTTTCTGTTTTTGGAATGAGCGCGTGAGCGAGCAGGTCCGGAAGATGGAAGGAGGAAAGGCAAGGAGATAAAGATCAGTGGATGACGTGGAACGCGAGGCTCGAGGCACCGAAGCACCCTTTACACTGAAAACCGAAATGCATGGACATCCAAGGCATTCAAGCACTCCTGTTTATCAGTGCATTGGATGGCTCAGGAGCTCAAAATAAGACACCGAAGAACACCGGATAAAGGAAGGAAAGTCAAGGAAAGAAAACACCCACCATGCCCAGCAAAGAGCATGACAAAAACGTTTCCGATCAACTCTTCGTCATCTAGTTTGTACTTGGACTCGGAGTCTTCGTTGGCTGAGACCAAGAGAGAGAAGGCGTCGCTGCCTTGTGTAGCTGTTCCGTTGTTGTCATTGTTGGATGAGGAGGAATCTTTGAGGAAAGAAGAGGTTAGAACGTGGTTGATGAAGACGACGCGGGAGGGAGGAGTTGATACCCACCCTGAGAGGAATTATAAGCAGCCCTCCGCTGAGCAACTTGTTCTCGCATGAAACCTTCAAGTTCAGAGTATGCTTGACGTGCATGTCGGAATCTGGGATATTTTTTCGAGTAAGTTTCATTAACGGTAGTCGTGGGCACAGTCAACGCACTTTTCAAAAGGCAACCACTTGACCCATCTCGGGGCAAAAACAAAGAGCATATAGGTATCCGCAACAGTCCTAATGGCTTCTTGGACAGGCATTTTCGTCGTCGAAGAGGATTTCGGTGGGTCTGCCCAAGTAAAGTTGAACCCAAACCCACATTTCCCGATCAACAACAACGCGAACTTGAACGTCAGGTCTTGTATGCTCTCTACCTTCACTTCCTTCTTTCCATCCCAGCCCTCTGTGTCAATCATATCCCTGTACGTTCTGACTGAAGACTCCCAGACGAGTTTATAAAGCTTCGAGTTAAAGGCCGGACCCATGACACGACGATGTCGACGCCAAGTTTCGCCTTCGGACGCAGCGAGATTCATTCCCCAGAGCAGCAACGCTTGACTAGCCTCTTCGGGTTTGATCCAGCAACTCTTGTGACCACCCGAAGCGACCTGCCTCGCGACGTCCAGGTTGGAACACCAGATGGAGGAAGGACCGATGAACCAGGGAACGATAGAGACGGTTTCACTGTGTTGATAGAGAGTTTTGCGTTTGATCCAATGCATGTCTGCACCAAGGTTCCACCATGTTGTAGGTAAGAGAGCACCAGGCAGTCCAAACGGTTGAAATGGTGGGCGTTGGCCAGGGAGAGAGTTGACTCTCTGGTAAAGGAAGAATCATGAGAAATAAATAGACATGAGGAAAAATAAGTAATGGGATTAGAGCGGAAGTGAAAGAAATTGATAGAGACCTTGAGGGAACTAAAGAACTTGAAGATGCGACTGACGAAGAAGATGGAGAAGAGCGCCAACGATACCCGACCGACGTCGACGTCCATGGTCAAAATCTGATTTCAAATCCAGGCACACAAATCAATTTTGTGGTCCGACAATCGCCTACTTCATTCATCATTTCCACCGCAGGAGTCTATGCAGCATTATGGCTCGCGGGAGACGATAGTGTTGGCCACTACAGAATAGTATAATATATAACCGGCGACTGACCACCCTTTATGACTCTACTCAAGGTGGCACTGGTAAACTTGGAAATTACTTCGCCGTCTGTCAGTGACTGTTTGTAGCAAATTTAATGTAACTGTCTAGAATTTAAATTTATTAAACCTGAGGCTTGAATTGAATCTCTATAGAGGTGTGAAAATTTTTCGCGAGACAACCTCTGAGTGAATTTGAGATATATACAGGCTTTGTGAAGAAAATTCAGACTATGAACCTAGGATTGATTCAAGGCTGGGAAAAAAGTGCCCGAGCACTTGGTGTATACATGTATGATCTGCATCTGCCTCACTGTTCGAACGAGGCGTTTGTTTCTTTCCAATTCATGGCAAGCTGGAAGTTCTGATATGTATCTAAGGTTGATGGACTCGGATGTGAAGCGGACTCGGAGAAATCTATTGGTATCTAACAATTCATTTCAAGAGTTCTTTAATCATGTAGCGCCTTTTTAGACCATGTTTTTAATTTTATCATCCATGTTCTTGAAGTGCTAATATATATCAAAGAGTAAGATATATTTGATATGGCCGGATCCAGCTACTACTAAGACCGCACTACACTACACTACAATCATTTGTAGCTGGTAAATCACTTAGTTGTCTATTCCATACTAGTGGCATTGACAATAAGTGGCGCCGCGATTTAATGGCACGACGTACTTACAGTATATACTTATCAAAAGAATTTAACGCTCGACCATTCAGTCAACCGTTCTCCTGGAATGAGTCAGTAGATCCGACAAGCTTATACTATCCAGTGCCACGATTCAATTAAATATAGAGCTGTATGGTCAAAAACTCGTTCATGTGAACGTCAGGGACCACAGTGGCGAATCGAGGACTGTCTAATAGGGGATTGATCCTTTCATCAAGCTAATCCATTCTGGATTTTACTTTCATCCCCAGCACCGGACTTTGGGAATCCAAGTCTAGTAGATAGCTTGAAGAGAGCAAGTAAGAACGAGTACTTACACAGCGAGGAAGCCGGAGTGGCTACTATAGCTGTAGTTCAGGTAAAACTCTACTACACAATTCTTTTTTTAGTCCATCGCATCGCGTCTATAAAATCGGTCCGCTCCGAGGAGCCCTTAAGTCCGAAAGAGTCCGGGCCCAATGTGGCGTCCCGAGTGTCATATTCTATCTAACACGATCGCATTGCTTTCCACCTGTTATGCGGAGCTTCTCGGTACATGTGTTGCTAAAGCCTTAGCATCAATATCACCGCATATCTTTAGTGGCTAGCTGTAACAACGAGTTCATTGCTTTTACTCAATACTATCCCCACGGATCCTCTATCTAGTTCTGTTCTTAGAAACTGAGGCAACATGACATGCAAAGCGTGTATGATGGCCAAAGAAATATATAAATCAGGTCCTAGTCTACATCTTAGTCTACGAGCTATTCGGAACAGCGACCCATAACTCATATTCTGAGCCCATCTATCAGGTACAAGTTCTCTTACTCTCCAGATATTGCATCGCTAAAATTTTATATCCTATTTAACTCAGCGGCTAATACCAATATCCTCTGGCTCGAATGTGTCGAATTGTTTTCTACCGCTACATCTGCGGACGTGTCAGTACAATCCCCGACTTGACAATCGAATGTGACAATT